TGGGAGTAGTCACACCTGTAATCCCAGCACTTAGGAGGATAAGGCAGATAGATTGCCATTAGTGTGAGGCCAGCCTGGACTACATAGTGAGTTGTAGGACAGAGCTAAAGCTACACAGAGAAACTCACAAAACCAAAAAAAAAAAAAAAAAAAAAAAAAAAAAAATTAAATGGCACAAATAAAGATATAGTCTCAGAATCTTGACAGGAAAAGGTCCTGGCCCCTGGTAGGATCTTATCTCTTGCTGATGGGTAAACTAAAAAAGTCAACGCGAGTGGAATGCTCATGCTGCCCTCTGAGTCTTGTGAAGCAGCAATCTGGAGAGCATCGACAGGGAGTTCAGATAGGCTGAGAAAATGCAATCTTAGAGCCCAAAGCAAGCATGCTCATTTCCCCCACCCACAGCATTTATCAGCCTGGGGCTGCAGCATGGCACAGGTACTGTGAGCACAAACCTTGGCTATGAACCTTGCTGCCATGCACCGCTGGTTTTGGGCAGGGCAGTCAACCCTAGTGGACCTCAACTGTCTTATCTATAAAATGAGGGTCACAGAGAGCTATACCAATCACTCATTGCAGGGATTCAAAGCAGGCTGTGTAGCCAGGCTGGCTTGGTAGTGCAGACCTGCAATGCCAGCCACTCAGAAGGTTGGGGCAGAAGGAATGCAAGTTCAAAGCCAATCTGGGAAACGTAATGATACCTTATCTCAAATTAAAAAGTGAAAAAGAGGACTCTTGCTTAGTATGTGGAAGGTGTCCCTGGGTTCTATTCCAAGGACCACAGAAGAGCCAGTGGGCCACGGAAGAAAATTACGTGTGCATAGGACAACACAGCTTTATGTGTAATTGTCAAATTTGGGAAACAGGGCTGGGGAGCCAGCTCAGTGAGTAGGAGCACACAAATTGTAACTTTATATGTAATTTTATATTCATAAAAGGGAATAGCACACAGCAACACAAAGGGAATAAACTGTTGACATACACCACAACATGGTTATGTCTCAATATAATTTAGTTGAAAGAAGTCAAATTTAAATGTTGCAACAGCTATATCATATACAGCTGTGGATACCTATATATGATCAAACTAGCTAAAAATTCCATCACGAATTGGGAAGGGTGTCCCGGAGTCTATAGCTGAGTATTTATGGGCATTTGATGGCTTCTGGGGAGAGAGAGTCACCTTCCTTTAGAAATGTGGCCACTTGTGGTTTGCCTGTGTCCTAGTGGATGTCCCCACACCCATACATACGTACATGCGCAGAGCTAGTTGTGGGAATTCAATCCAGTTAGCCAAAGGCTTCAGGGTAACAAGCCCCAGGACTTGGTCTTGTCTGCTTAAGTAACTGCTTAAGAGCTAAGGGGGAGGGGTCGTGTGCTCTCTCGGGTGGTCGAAGCAGGAGCAAGCCTTGCAGTTGGTCCTCATCACCCTTGGGCAGAATAACAGGATACAAGCAGCTGGATGAGCAGTGGTGACTACCTTGTTCTGTATTTGTGAGTCTGTATTTCCATTGCACCCCTTAACAAATTATTAAAAAGACTTTTGTGGGTTCACACTTCAGGACTCTGTGGATTAGAAATAAAATTTTGAAAGCGTTGCACGGTGTGATTTAAAATACACAGCATTCCAGGAAATATAAGTATAGAAAGCAAAAATGGAAAGGAAGGAGAATCAAATGGAAACACACACCAAGAAGCGATCAGGGCTATTGCATATGATTAACACTGCCACCAGGGTGAGAGTTCCATGGAGGCATCTGGATGTCAACCTGTATCACACTGTACACTTGCAGATGCAGAGTTTAGTAAATGCCTATTATACTTTACAAAGTTGATAAAAACTTAGTCATCTAAGGCCAGCACAGTTTTCATCTCAACACCCAGACAGTTGCTCTCTTCTCTGACAAGCTCTGTCTTCCACCTGGAGAGAGCACTAACCAGTTCTTTTCACTATTCATTAGTCGAGAGCCTTGACCTTAGGTTCAGACAGATGTGTGCTGATGTTTGCTTTATTGCTTCCTAATCTGGACCAGCCTCAGGAGATATTCATGAGTAGTACCATGGGCTCATTCACAGGAGGAAGAGGAGACAAGGTGAGGAAGTTCATCACATACTCACTCAACACATGGTTCTTCCATGTCTGTGTCCTGCCTCCTATGGACAGAATCCTGGGTGGGGGGACTGTCTCAATAATCTCCACTCCTCTTCCTGAACTCTGCTCAGAGCAAGGCATGGAATGAAGGTGTGCCAGACACAGTTGCCAATAACCTCTGTTTTCAAACAAACCTACACCATCGCCAACCAAGGGGAAAATAAGTCTGGTTCATGGTACTAAGCTTCCAAATTTGACGGACCTATCAGTGTACAAAAGGCAACTGTGAACTAGGGTAGGGTCCCAGTGTGAGGGCACAGGAAGTGTGTTCTGTACCCGGAGAAGAATAGAGGAGTATTTGTTCTGTGGAAACGTGCACCCCAAAGAAAAAATAAAGGGGTGGGAAGTTTTGAACAGAATATATCAAGCTTTACTCCTTAATTTTTATGGAGCTTAATTCTTTCTCATCTTTCAGTGGTGTGAAGCCAGTCAAGGGCAGACAGGCAGAGGAACTGTCCTTCAGTGGTGTGAAGCCGGCCAAGGGCAGACAGGCAGAGGAACCATAATAATAGAGTTCCTGCCACATGAAGAGAAATATCAAGAGTGGAGAATAAGCACTGTGTCTAAAACTGAATTTTCACTCTAGGTTTGCTGGCTGGGTCTTCAACATAATATCTGAGCTCACAGAAAAACTGAGTAAAAGACTTCTCCTGTCATGTCAGAAGTCAGCACAGACAGCAGCAGATCCGCAGGGTGACAGCCTTCTCTGAAACACCTGTGGAAGCTCTCACAAAGTCACAGCCTGACCATATCTCACATTGGTTCCCCAGCCAGCTCCTAACCATAGGTCCAACAGACCATAGATCTGCTACCCATTACTTCTTGATCAGTCCTGAACAAAAGGGAGTCTTCTCCATGTTAACCTCCCCAGTGGCTGCAGGACATTAACCATGCCATACCTTTGATGTATATTATGACTCTTAACACGCTCACTCATTAACTCACCCTTCAGAGAGGATTCGCCCAAATTGTTCATGACCTTGAAGTATCTCATGGAAAATGAAAGTTACAAATGCCTTTAGCCAATTGTGGCTCAGGAAATCAGGAGCCTGAGCTGGCCTGGCTGTAGGTAAAGCACAAGCCTCTCTCCACAGGGAGTACAATACACTCTGTATCCATGACAGCACCCTGTGGTTATCACAAGCCTTGAGATATTTGTTCACATCAATCACTGGCAAGCGGGAATTTCTAAACCTGTGTTTACACCTCTCTGTTTTTAGGTTGGGATTCAGGAATCCTATTTCTCCTGGCTACAGCTCAGCTTTACCAGAACAGCCAAGGCAAGGAGATTCGGGCTTTGGTGCCAACAAGGAAGACCCACTGCAAGTTTCAGCTGGGAATCTCTGAGCTAATGATAACAATGCCACTCATGTCATGAGATTGCCCTAAGAATAAAAAGAGACCATGCAGGCAAATCCACTGGAGCCCAGACTCTGAGTCAAAGTAAAACTTAAGACAGTCATTCCCATTCGTACCAAAGTTACATAAATACTGTCACAAGAAGACAGAGCCACTCTGTAGCACAGGACGCCATTGTGGTTTGAGAATCCATGTCAGTCACTGTCCTAGTAAAACACTCTGATCTAAGCATCTCGGGGAAGAAAGGGTTTATTTCATCTTACATGTCCAAGTGACAGTCCACTACTGAGGAAGGACCTTAGGGAAGGAAGGTGGAGATGGGACTCGAGACAGGACCTGACACGGGAACTTAAGCACAGTGGAATGCTACTACTACCTCACTGCTCTCGGGCTCATATTCAGCTGCCTTTCTTAAGCAGCCCACACCCACCAGCCTAAGGGGTGACACCACCCACAGTGGGTTGAGCCCTCCTACATCAATTAGCAATAAATAAAGTGCCCACAGACACACCCACAGCCAATTAGATGGAAGTAGTTCTTCATCTAGGTTCCCTCATTCCATGTTCGTCAAGCTAACAACCAAGACGAGCCACCACAATTGCCTCGGGAATGACTTCAGAGCTTTGTGCACAAAGCCACTGCCATTCAAAATTTTTAGTCATTTTAACTGCATTTTAGGTGGTAGGCATTACATGCCCCAGTGCAATTGTGAATTGAGTAATTTTCAGGTGACTTAGGGAGAAAAATCTTTTTGTCAGATTTCAAGGACATCTCATTTAAATCCAATCTATCATATTTGGGAGCCTCCATTATTTTCCTTAAGGCCACAGCCTCACTGTCCACCATTCTACAGGCAAGTCTCTCCAGAGCTAGGGATGGAATTCTATTGTGGCTCCAAATTTAGACCCCAGGAGGCTAGAACTACCACTCCTTTGATCTTTGTTTACCACTTAGTCACAGACTGTCTTTCCTTCGGTCTGCAAAGACACTCTGTCCACCCGGAGAAAATGGGTCCTAATAGTAGCCGTGGCCTGAGCACTGTAAATGTCACGAGTCTCTCTTCCCTTTCATCTTTCTCTAAATATTGCCGTAAAGACTTTCTTGTTCCTACCTGGTACCAACGTCTGGTCCTGCCAGCTTCTGCTGCACGGCTTTTGTAGCAGTCTGACGGGGTGCTGTGTTTCCGGGAACCACCCTTCAGTCCCCATACCCTTGGCCATGTAACTTGGCAGGGCCTCTCACTCTTGCTAGACCAGAGCATTCTTTATGACCCCCTAACACTGAGCTTGACTGTGCATGTGCTCTGACTAGTGGCCGGGAGCAAATGCAATGGAAGCTCTGGTCCCACAGCCACTGCTTCACGGGCCTATAGAGGAGGACGAAAAGTGTCCCAGGCATACAGACCACTTTTGATCACCTAAAAGCCAGACTGCCTCCAGACAGCTGTGTAAATGTAGAGCAGATGAGCATGGCCAATCAGCGAAACTGCAATTGACCTCAGATATGCAGGGTGCTCCGAGTCCAACCAAGATGAGCTTAAAGCCCACAGACTTCTGGGTTAACCACATGTCTGGGTTAGCCATATGCTAGTGATGCTTCACAGTGGCACGGCACAGGCTCCTCCGCAAACTTGCAAGGACTGTGTCCAGAAGACAGGAAGGAAGCAGCTGAGGAGCCTTCATCTGTGCCCACCCGGCACTCTTTGATTAAGCCTTAGGTAGTAAGGGAAGTGGTAAGGGACACTCACACACTCACAGCCTCAACCAAATGGCCGACCTTGAGGTCAAGTGTGCCATCACCTCAATCCAAGAGGAACTGAAGCTTGATGATTTTCTTGAACATAAAAAATTATCCAATTCCACAAACAGACACAATTACTGGCCACGGAGACAAGACTCAACTTGACACCAATTCACTCCAAATGGATGGCTTGTCTCCTCTCTGTCACCCAGAACAATTTTACCATCACAAGCTTGCTTTTGAAATATGAAATCTTGGGAGAATTACAACTTTCTCTGTAGCTTGGACTTTTTTTTTCAGAGAGCTATTTTAAATACCCCCCAAACTTGTGTGGGAGTGCCAATCGGCCACATTTAATTGGCCAGATTGCTAGCCTCAGAGATGCAGCACTCTTCAGAAAATTAAACATAGATGTGATTGTTACTTTGCTCTGTTATTGTGGCTACAGAATGGCAAACCAATCTGTTGAAACTGAAAAATCCAGCCACTCAATTATCTGTCAGGCTCACATAGCTAAATACCCACCAAACAGGGTTTTGTTTTCCTCCTTTGCAGCATTGGAATTTGATTAAAGATATTGCTAGCTGGCCATGGTGCATAGCCAGGACTCAAGGCCTTCCTAACAGCCTCTCAGTTCCTTAGGCAAAGGTTGATTCTGGAAAGATAGACTGACCATCGTGCACTCGTGTATTCACTTGGCCTACAAGTGTTTATCACGCATATTCTCTGTGGGGTGCTGAGGAGAAAGATAATGGAGAAAAAGGCGTCCCACAACTAGGAAGATGAGGAGACTGAAGTGGAAGCCAGGAACAACTGGGACCTTCTCCTGGTCCCATTGGGGATATCTGTCAATACATGCAGGTACATTTGATATCTGATAGGAGGTTAGGTAATACTGAAATCTGGTGATCAGAGGTTAGGTACACTGCTAAATAACCTACAAGAACATGGTGGCTGGATTAGAACCTAGCCCAGTCTCAACCATCAGTTGTGTTGATGCTGAAATTCTGAATACTGAATTTACTTCTTTAAGAGCAAAGGATTTTATCCATTGGCTCTGTCTTAACCATTCCTGATCTCTGCCTCAATACAGGGTTGAGCACAGGCAGGAAGGTACCCTATAAATGATGGGTGTGTGGATAGATGGGTTGGTGGGTGGATGAGTGGGTGAATGGGTATATAAATGGTTATATAAAAGTGAGTGGATAGATGGATGGACAGGTGAAGATAAGTGGGTAAGTAGATCGGTATGTGAGATCCACTTAGGTGGGTGGATGGATATGTGAGTAGACAAGTAGTAGGTGGGTGCATGGGTAGATGAATGGATGGACAAATAAGTGAATGAATAGATTGGTGAATGGGTATATGAATGAGGAGGTAGGTGAGCATGGAGATGGATAAGTGAGTGGGTAGATGGGTGGGTGGGTGAGTAGATAGGTGTGTGTGCGTGTGTATAGGTAGGAAAATGATTATGTGAGTGGGTAAGTGTATGGATGGGTGAGTGGATCTATAAATTGATGAATGGCTTGATGGATAGGTGAGAGAGTGAGTGGTGGGTGGATGGGGATGGATGGATGGATAAATGGGTGTGTGTGTGGGTGGATAGGTGGGTGATAAGAGGGTAATTTGATGAGTAGATGAATGAATAGATGGACATATGGGTGAGTGCACAGATGTGTTAGTTAATGGATGGGTGAGTGGGTGGGTGAGTGGGGGTGAGTATATATGTGTATGTATGGGTCTCTGGATATATGGCTCAGGGAATGAATAACTCTGGATAGATAGGTATGTAAATATATGGGTGGGTGAATGAACACGTAAATGGATGAATGGATGGATAAATGATGGATGGATGGATGGATGGATGGATGGATGGGAGGGAGGGAGATGAATGAGTGGATGGATGGTTCTCACATTAGTAGATGATATCAATCAATACATACAATAGATGTAAATTCCTTCAGACATCATAAACTTGTGGTTATACTATCTACTAGAGTCTAAGCGGCTCTAAGACTATGCATCCATAGGACTATGCTTAGTAATAAATCTTATGTTCTGCAACACCCAAAGCTTTCTTAGCCTTTTTCTTAGCTCTTCTTTTAACTTTGATAAGATGTACCGAGTTCTTTCTGCAAACCTCTCCAGCCTGAAATGAAGATAATCTGTCTTCTTTTATTTCTTAACCACTGGAAATGAGAGTAAATTCGTCATATCTCACATTCTGTAGATTCATTTAGTCAATTATTCTACTTTGGGTCTGAACTCATCCCTAGTAATGTACAATCTGTTTTAGATGTTAATTTTTAATGGTGTGATTTTGGCTTGTCCTTCAAATGAGTTGAGCAGAAACACTGATTTATTTTTATCCCTTTCATCAATGCCAGGGAACAGAATAAATTACTCAGGAATATGTTCTCTTGTCTTTACTTTCCCCTCCCATAAGAGATTATGAAGATGAATGTCCAAGGATTGATCTTCTCTTTAAAAGCCTAGCTGTGCAGAGCAGCTGTGAACAGGAATCATGTGGGTGCCATGTCAAGAGACACCTCAAGGCTAGCAGGATCCTTCCCTGCCTTTTGGGAAGCCACAATTCAGAGAGATTCTGAACCTCAGAGCTGGCAGGTACACTCGTATTGAGAAGCTAAGGTATGATGATGTTTTAGTCATGCTTTCAGTCAAAACACCTGCCTTGAACAGCTTCGTGGAGGAAGGACTCATTTTGGCCCCTGGTCTCAGAGGATTCTACCCACTTACCCATCCATCCATATACTCATCTATCTATCTATCTACCTACCTA